CCTAATGACGGATTGTATCTGTATGGTCGCGTACACTTTTCAAAGCGCTTTCACACCCACTCCGTCATTTAGTCATAAAGAGGGAGGGAGAGACCGAGAATGCATGTGTCTGCGCACACGCACCCCATTTAGAGAGAACTGTCAACAAGAGATTCTTGTTCACCTCCCCGTCTCAGCTTCCCCAAATGCTTCCTAGATTTTTCCTGTCCTCTCTGTCATTGAAAGAACAGTTTTATTCAACAGATATTTGGGCTGAAATCCACACACATCTCTGAAAGTCTTCCTGTTTCTGCCTAGAACCTCACCTGTGGGTTGTGATGAGACAGTTTCTTTATCCTCAGCTTGTTTTCTGGGGGACTGTAGGATGGAGATGGTGATGCCCCGGGAATGAATTGACAGAGGGGGTTTCTAGTCTGGGTCAGTCACTCGTTCTTTCTCTGGACCCTTATAGGAATCACTAAGCTCTCGGTCTGTGCTCCGCTGTGGAATCACGCCCATTCCCTCTTAAAACCACGTTGAAAGTTCTCAGTTAGGTGAGAGACTTTCTGCAAAGCCAAAGAGCTAACTCACCTTGGTGGTCCTGGAGGGGGGGACAAATGGTGGCCATTCCATCTCACAGACGAGGCGATTAAAGCCGAAGAAGGGCAGCAGGATGCCGGACAGAGGCCAGTCCTACCTTCATCTCTAGCTCCCCTTTCTTCCCCTGGGCTCCCTTCATGGGGCCCTTTTTCCCAGATCTCTGAGCAGGACAGGGTGCTAACGCATTCACTCCACTGGTCTTGTAACCCCACCCCACACCCCTCTGTCAAATGGCAGTGGGGGGCCGGCGCTTTGGTGAGGCTGGGTCAAGATGAGGGCAGGGAAGGAGGAAGGTCTCTCTGAGGCTTGAGTCTCACCCTCTACCGTTCACCAGGAGGGAGGGAGCCTTTCTCTCTCTTCCCCAATAAGCCTGCTTCAGCCCTAGCCTGGGGTCTGCCTCCTGGACTAGTCCAACCCACCTGGCAGGGCTTGGCTGTCCTCTAAGCCTACCACTCTTGCGTCCTCTGTCCCTTGTTCCCCTGGTGGTCCCCAGTCTTCCCATCACCATCTTTGGGCTAGAAAATTACCAGAAAAATCCTGGTTTAATCCTCTAGTTTGCTAGATATGCAATCTTGGGATAACCAGCCAACATTCTTCCCCATCACCAGCATCAATTTCCTCATCCGTAAAATGGAAAGATGGCATCTACCCTCACAGAATTGTTGTAAGGGCCACAGGCGTTCAGTGCGTGAGCATGCCCTTCCAGACACAGGTTGGCACTGCCAGGCCCTCCGCCACAAATTCCTGCACTAGGATGAAAGCCCCTTGAGGACGAGGGCTGTGTTCTCATCCGCCTGAACCCAGCGTCTGACTCAAGAGGGCTGCATAGATGCTGGTTCCGGGACCACCAGCTGGGTCAGAGAAGAGGGTCGGGGGCCAGCGGAGCACTGCAGCTGGAGGTGTCTGAGGCCGGGGGACTGGGGAGGGTGCTGAGGGGGGCAGGGCAGGGGCCGCGCAGCACCCAGGGGACAGCACAGACACAGGATGCGCGCACTCATGACGGGGAATCTGGAAAAGCAGGTCCACGTACACATCTTCTAAGATTCAGCCCTTAGAGATTATCCAGCCCAAACCCCTCCTTTGTGGGGAGGAAATCAAAGGTCTGGGTGGGGAAACCTTGCCCAGGAATCCAAAGGGAGCTAATGGCAGAGCCAGGGTAAGAATCAAATGCAGCCAGACAGGCCGGGTTTGATTTCCGGTGAGAAGCTCTGTGACTCCGGAGCCTCAGTTTCCTCACTGATGAAGTGGGGATGGTAAGAATGAAACGAGACGATGCACACGGAGCAGCGGGTATGTGTACATGTCCGCGGGTACAGGCAGGAAGCTCTGTGAGTGGGGCTGGCCTTTCCCCCCTTCCTCCCCAGCCCACCGTTTTTGCCCCACACTGGGCTTGAGGATACACTGTGGCCAGTGTGGTCAAAACCCAGAGGGCTTGAAGTCTGTAACTTGTCAGTTACAGACTTGGGGCTTTTGAAATGTGGGTAAGGCTGTATATTCTTATCAACGACTCAACTGAGGACAGAAAAAAATATTGTCACCTTCAAGAATGATGGAAAAGTAACAACAGGAGGGAGGTAAAAGGAAGGGGAGAAAGGCAGGTAATTCAGAACTCTAGAAACAGCCTGGCTCCAGCCCTCTGGGGCTGCGGAGAGCGCTGGGCAGGAGAATGGGAGCCTTCTCTGCTCTGTGGGGCTGCCACAAAGGCACCCCAGGGCCTCGGGCTTCCCTGTCCCCGTCCTAGCCTTGACTTCCATAGGCAGAGGGGAAGGGAAGCCTGTGCCACCCTGCCGGCCTCTACCAACCAGGAGTCGGGTGCCTCGACCTGAGAATGCTCTTCTTTGCAGTCCTGACGGGTGGATGGGGAAATTCACTTCCCTTTCCTGGATCCCTCACTCCTTGCGCCCCTTGGGGATTTCACACAGCACAGAGGGTGCTCTCAGGGAACTGGGGCTTTCTAGGTCATCTGTGTTTACAGTTCCTTTAAAACCCAGAGACAAACTACCCCTTAATTCACGCACTGTTGGGAAGGGGAATCTGCCTTTTGAAAAATCCAAAGGAAGTCATTTAACCCAGTTGGTAACCATTGTGAGTCATAATAAGCTTTCCTCTGTAAAAAATGAGTCAGAACGGCTTTCCAGGAAGTTTGGTTACTTTAATTAGCTACCTCTTTTTTCTTGCTCTTAAAAACATTTGGTAATTTGATGATCACCTAAGTATGAATGCTACCAGCCACTGAACTGAGCCCCGAGAAGTGAAGTTCCCAGGGGTGGAGAGGTTCCCCACAGCAAGTACTTCATAGTCTCCTTAGCAGGGAGGGAGAGCCACACATTTCCTGAAGGCTGAATGGAGAGAAACCAGCCTTCAGTGCTGACCCACTTGCCCTGGGTGGAGAGAAGGGCATCCCAGCTAGCCGCAGCCCAAATGCGCTGAGCGTAGACTCTGTTCATTACAGAATCGCAGCCCACCGTTTTTGATGCCACTGGCGGTAATGATGATACAGCTGCCATGGGCCAGGCACTTTGCTCAGAGCTGTCAACATCTTCTCAGCTAACCCTCAACCCACTCTCTAAGCTGGGCATTAATGGTCTCCTTTTACAGAAGAGGTGAGGCTTAATTAACTTATCAGATCATACAACCAGTAAGCAACTGAGATGTGATTTTTATCCCAGGTCTGTTTGATTCTAAATCCATACTCTTCAAAGGCCATCTATTCCTGCCTTCTTGGGAGGTAAAGGGGCTGGTCTAAGGTCACACACTGAATTGGCAGTAACCCTGGGGTGCCAGTCCGATTCCACAAGTCCCAGCTTATGACTGGATTCTTTCTCCTTCATTGTAGTCTGTACATAGTCCCACAGTCCAGAAAGGAGGCCAGGACTTGCTCAGATTGTCCATAGCACCTTAACCTTCCTCACGCCCACCCAGGGTTATAACTCCCTCCCTCTCCTGGCTCCCTTTCAGGGCTCTATGCTGCTCCGTCTCACTCCCAACACTGTTACCCTGACTTGGTCACATAACTAATAACAGAGCTGCCAGCTAAGGGCGATCTTCTTCCCACACGGACACTCTCATAGCTGTGTTCCCACATCCCTGGGGCATATACCTGGCCAGGGGCACAGAGTTGGTTCTAGCTAGCCTGCTGCCGGGAAAGGACAACCCAGTTTCTCCTGAATTGTGACTTCGGGACTCTGATTTATCTCTACAGAAGACTGTCAGGGCAGAGACACATGGCGCTCCAGCTGAACTGATTTGAAAGCGTGGCTGGAGCTCTTCAGCTGGGCAGGAGGGGGGGGGAGTTTCTTCTCAACTGGGGAGAACAGGTGCCCCTTCCACAGACCCTTAGCAATCACACTCAGCTAATAAATCAATTGAAATATGAGTGCAATTGGCTCACACTCTCCTTGCCCAGCTGTCCCTACACACAAAGCAAAATATAGAACCTGGAGCTGCCTGTGTATTGTTACCTGTGTAAATAGACAGTTTCTATTAAATTGGGTGGGAGAAAAGTTCATGGTAGATGCACCCTGCAGATGCCCCTCTCCTGCAAGATCCCTCATTATCTTGTCTCCAACCCCAAATCTCTTAGCTTCAAGAAGGGAACTAGACTGCACCTGAAGACTAGGGAAAAGATTTTAGCTGTGGGGAACATGATTCCCCTCCACTTCTAATCTCTATGTCTGTAATGATCCAGATGAAAGACTAATTGAGGTCTTGTTGGGGTGCTATAAAAGTTATTTGCTGGTGTTATAATTTATACTCATGTTTCTTTAGGTTCTTTTTAATTGTATGGAGTTTTCAAAGCAAGGCCTGGACTATGGAGCTAAAAGCAGAGCCATGAAACTTTCTTCTCAATTCCTTCCTGTCTTCGTTCTCTTCTCTACAAAGCAAAGTCATGGCCAAGTACCAAGCCTTCCTTTCTGGGTCTATTTACCACCCACATACATGTAATTTGGAGGGGGAACACTTGTATGCAAGCCTCTTTGGTTAGGCCCTGGAGCCGGCCGATTGAGAAATCTGGGGTAAAAAGGCCTTAGTCCCCATCTATGAAAGGCAGGTTCTGCCTTCTGTCAATCAGAAACAGCTGGGAATACAGCCTGCTACTTCTGGGTGTTGGAATGGCCTATCAAGGAGTGACCTCCTCTCAAACGTTTTTTGTTTGTGTGTGTGTTTTTTTTTTTGATGATCTGGGCTTTTCCTAGTCTAGTTCTGGAGGTTTTGTTCCACAGTAGACCATTGTCTACAGTTTGAATGTTCCAAGGTCATTTTCCATGTCTCTAGGGAATCCCTTCATTTCCTGACGCTGTTTTTGAGTTTGATTGTCTGAACGACCAAGCAAGAAAAGATACCACCTTGTTTGACAGATTTCCAACAACCCTCTCCCACCCATGCTTTGCTGTTTCATTCCCCAGAAGAGAAGACCTTACCTGTCTCCACCTGGCTGAGAGCGCTGTGTGCATCCGAGGAATCTGCTACATCTCCACTCATCTTGATACCTGCAGGGAACACACAACTGATTTTAATAACAGGTCACAATTTTTCTTGCTATGACATATGTAGCTTTAACTAAACAGCAAAGATGAATGTGTAATTACAACAACCATCAGACTTTCAAATTCCTGATTCCTGAACATACAACACTGGAATATTCATAAGCTTGGGCACATAGCCCCTCCTCCCACACTTGCCTTTCTCCCCGCCTGTTTCCCTCCATCTCTGGGCACTACCACAGGGCCTCTCACCTTCTCCATCATTCACTGTCATTTCCTTCCATCGCCAGGCTCAGGTGGTAAAAATTTAACAAGGGGAGGGGTACAGCCAGAGTTGGGGGTGGGAGAGAATGCTTCCCATTCTCAGTCCTCATTTCCTTTGGGATTTGGGGGATTCATTTTAGTGCTTAAAGTAGCATAAGAGATATCCATGCCCTCCTACCCCTTGTAATGCCTGACTTCCCTGGGAGGTAAGAGTGCCTTGATCCAAGGCTTTCTCACCCTTCTTTCCCAGTTCCTGCCTCTGTTCTTCTGTCTGGTTCTCAGAGGTCAGCCCCCTGTCTGGGGATCAAATCCTCGCTCCTGTGTGGCCCTTCTTGGAGATCCTGTCCTCCGGGGTCCTTACCTTCTCTCCTAGTCCTTCAGTGTGACCAGGGGGAAAGGATGGTGGGCGGGTCAGGGCCCGGCAGAGAGAGTACCTACGGAAGGCCCCGTCTCATCCCCCACGTGCTGCTGGTCTGGCCTCTCTGCCCTGCTTCATTTCAATACATTAAACATTTACCCACAACAGACAGCTGCCACCACCTAAGAGGCCCCTAAGTCTCCAGGATCATCGGAGAGGAGCAAAGAGGCAGCTTGGAACTCACTCACGCTCTCTGCAACTCTCCTCATTAAACCACCCAAATACTGAAGCTGTTAAAGACAGAAGAATATTTTATTCAAATCATGTTGACCGCCCCCCTTCTCTGGGGGCAGCACTTTTAACTCTTTCAAACCAGATAAATTCTTGGTGAACCAATTTGCATACCCGGCTCCCCAGCCAATCCCAGTTAAGCAGGCAGTCTTAATTTGCATCAGGTAATCAGGCAGTTGGCAGTCTGGACGCCTGAGGTCTGGAGATGATCGGCAAGAGGAAAAAGAGTGGACCTCCGCCCCAGGAAAAGAGGAGAGAAACCTACTTTCTTTCTTTCTTTTAGTACAATGATGTGTGTAGCTCAGGCAGAGATTTAAGCTGTGGCCCCTGGGTGTGTAGTCACTGCAGGGCAGGAGGGGTGACTTCCATGCCCCACAAGACAGAGATAGGGTCTAGAGTTTTTCCAGTTCTTAGAACACCCCAGAAGCAAGGGAAAAAGTTAAGCAACCTTGGGAACCACTGTGGTTTGAGCAGTACTTTTGTGACCCACCAATGTGATGACCCCCAGGCAAATACTTGGAGTTCCATACAGCCTCCCCAGACCTCCACAGTGTCCTAATGTGGATAGGCTACAGACCTCCAGGCAGACCCTGCAACCACACCCCCACCCCTCCCACTGTATCATATTTAGGAAGGCATTTCTTGAGCCTAACCGAAGTCCTTCCTGCTGCAGTTTGAAACTTTCAGTGTAGGCTGTCATTCACGAATATGCAGTATAACTAGCATGGGGCACCTGGACACATCTGCTAAGGGCTTCTGCTGCTGTTCACCTTCTATTCCAATGGAGAAATGGGCTTGCTTTGTACCACCCATGAAGTCCTCCCCTTGGAGCCGGGCAATGCCCAACACAGATGTGCTCAGCTCCTACTTCCCCGCAGGGACTCTTCAACAGTGCTGAAGAGAAGGGAGTTCCTGCTGGGAAGGTGCTAGCTAGGGGACCTTGGCCGCTTAACTGAAGCTCAATTTTCTCAACCAAAAAATGAGAATAATGCTACTTTCCAGAGTTACTGTGAGGAGCAAATGAACTGCTGAATGAACACTGCCTGGCACAGTCCCTGGCATAAAGTAACCGTGTGGTAAATGAATTAACTACCGGAGACTTAGGCTTTGATGTTAGTCCCCTTCTCCCACTGCAATAAGCAGCTCGGGTTTCCTGTCTCAGCACTATTGTGGTTTGTCCTTTATCTGGGAAGCCTTCCCCAGTCACCAAATTCTGACTTCGTAGGAAAACGCTCATGGGGACAAGGTGAGTTTAAGAGGCAGTAGGCCTGGGATGATAACCAGATGGCCTGAGTCAAATTATTTGAAATTCCTGCCATTTAAGAAGGGTAACTCTTTAGCTAAACCATAATGTTATGCCTATAACCCAAACTCTCCTTAAACACCCATTCCCTGCATTGCCTTCAAATATAACCAAAAGCCATCTCACTCATCCTTTAAATTAGCTTAAAAGGACTAAAAATTAGTCCTAATCATGCCAAAAAATAACTTTTGAAGGTGTCAATGGACTCATGATGCCAGGACATCTACTCATTTGATGTACCAATTATGGGAACCACATTGTGACACTTGGAGGTTGGACCAGGATTTCAGCCTGAATTGGGGGTAGGGGGCAGGCTGAGATAATCTATAGGAGCTCTTCCGGAGTCCCATAGGGTGCTCAGATACTGAGAACCTGTTCCCGTTGGGCAGGAGGCTGAGGGGGACGGGTGAGACGCACTCTTTGGTCTCAGCCTAAAATTGGGCCAACACCGAAACTCCCCGAGAAGCCATAACCCTTCACCTGTCAGAGAACAGCACTTGCCGGCGTGAGTGAGAGAGGTGTGGGGTGGGGCCAGGCTCCTTGGCTGTCCTTATCTCAGCTGGCTGGCGATTGAGTAGGCTCCTTGCCGTCCCTCCCTTCCCGGAGGAGACTCAGCTGCTCTGTGCAAGAGCCGAGGTACCAGACTCGACCCTCACCTGCTTCACTGGCACCATTATACTCCCAAGCCGGCGCAAGATGTTAGCCGCTGGCCTTGCCCACACCATGCCTTGACATGACCCAGAGGCAGCCCCTCCGTACCCATCTGCAAACCAGGATGTTTATGTGAGCCCACAGGAGCAAAGTCCAAAGGCATGGCATTTCCCCCAGGCTTCAGGCTGAGCGTCCACAGGGTCCTGCACCCCAGAGGTCCTACTGGGACAGCTGAGGGCCCACCCCTCTTGCCTACTGTCCATCTTCAGCTTTTTGGAAAGGACTGGAGCTCCCGTCTGACTTCTCCCTCTCATACCCACTGATCGGGCACATCTACCAGAGGAACTTCAAAGGACCCACCAGTCCTATTTCTGAGCCAGCTGTGGCTCCAACTCTCCCCTGGAGGAGACTTCTCTGGCCTCTTCTTCTAGAGAAATCCACTTCCTCCCACGAGTCGGTGTTCCAGCCCAAATGGAATGCCTGAGTTGTAATTGGCATCAGTCTGCAAGGCTCAATCCCTCTTCCTCAGCCCTGATGGGGGACAGCAAATAGTGACAGGAAGAGAGAGAAGAGATGCCCTGGGGCCAACCAGGTGCCCCCTTTCTGCTGGCTTCCCGCTGTTTCCCTCCACCTCTTCTCTCCCTCCCTGGCTGTCTATCTGATTCTCATCTACGGCTCTCTCTGCTTTCGGCCTGGGGGCGGGGAGCCCCTCCTTGGCTGGCGGCCCCCCGTGTGTGGTGACCTCATGCCTGCTCAGGTGTTTTGCTTCTGCCTGAGAGATGCTCTGTGAGGTACAAAGTGCTGAGGCCCTGGGCCGACCTGAATTATGGCTTGTGCCCAGGTTACCAGAGCGAAAAGACAGGCTGACTCAGGGGCCACAGTGCCCATGCAGCTGTCCGACTGGGGGACCTGGGTGCAAGCCTATGCCCTACTTCGTGTGTGCTCCTGTCCCCTTCCCCCCGCCCAAACTGTTCCAGTAAATCAACTGAGGAGGACTTCCCAAGGGCCCGGCACTGGGAGGTCACAGTGGGAAGCGCTGTTTCTAAAGAATCAGCAGGATACAGGAGGGGAAGTAGGAAACCAGATTCTACACAGAGGCTCCTGGACGAGAGACCCTAGAGAGGGTCCCCTAATGAGTCTCCTCGGAGGGACCATCCCTCACAGACCCCAGAGCAGGGCCCACACTGACCACCCTGGGCCCCTACAAAGACCCTACAGAGAGAGACGACCCCAAACTGAAAAGCCCACTGAGAAGACCCCGCAAAGAGAGTCCATAGGTGGAGGCCTGGCAGAGAGCCTCCACAGAAAGTCCCAACCTGAGAGACCCCTTTGAGGCCGCTGAAGGGGAATGACACACCACAGAGGGCCTGAGGCAGAAACCTCGCAAAGAGACCCCCACAGCCCTTGGGGAGACAGACTAAAAAGGTGGTCTGGGGAGGGCAGGCAGGTAAGTGTAGAGAAAGGAATCAGGTAACACATGGGAGGTAGGTGGAGACACCCACCCCGCCCAGAAGTCACCCCTCCTTGGGCCTAGTTCAATCTCCCTTTTGTGTCCGGAACCCCTGCCTACCAGGCACAAGGGCAAGGGAGGCAAATGGGCTTCTCAGAAGCATCCGCCTGGAGCTTCTTCCTCTGAGATCATGGGGTGGAGGGCTTGGCCCTCTCGCCTGACCTCACCAGCTCTCCTGCTGTCTGCTAGATCCTCTTAGCCCCTGGGCGGCTTCCCTGCTGGGTCCCAGCTGTCCCAGTCCTCCCACTTCCCCCAGAGCAGGAGCCTCCAGTAGACAATGAGGTGGAAAATCCCCAGGCAGTCTCTGATCTTGGCCCTAGAGAACTTCCCACCCGAGGCCCACCTTTCTCAAGTCTTGTTCCCCTTCAGACCTCGGCCTTCCTGGTGGGCAGTGAAGGGATATCAGCGTGCCCAGCTCCATGCTGACAGTGCCACAGAGTCTGCAAACAGACTTTCCCCAAACACTGGATGACACCCAGTTAGATGGCTCTTCCCTCCTCACCTAGCCCTTCCTGGCATGTCCTGGCACCTGGGGACATCCCTCCGTTAGCGCGCCTCGCACTCAGCCCTGCCAGAAGTGCGCCTGGGGAACTGTGGACCCTGCTCCCCCTGTGTACCCATCTCTGCCTGTCTTCAGGACTGGAGGACTCGAGACAGGGCCAAAGCTTCCAGGCTGCTCTGCCCTGTCCGTTCTTCCTCCCTGCTCCCCCAGAAAGGAGACCAGGTAACAAAATTCCCATCAGCAGCCCTGAAATCCTAAATAAAGGTCATCAGGTGCCATCATCTTTGAGAGGCAAATTGCTGGTTTGAAACGGCCAGTCTGTTCTGTGCCCAGGCCCTCAGACCTCCAGCAGGCACACCCCAATGACAAGCCCAACGCCCCAGGATTAGCAGCCCCTGCCCTGGCCCGGGTGTGGGAAAGGAGGGTGCGGCAGGGTGAACGGAGGGGCCTGCGTTCGCTCCATGCCCACCTACCATGCACTCAGGGGCACTGACTCCTGGAAAAGTGTTTCTATCTCTCAGGTTCCCACACTTGAAGGAATCTGAATCCACGGGGCGTGGAACACAGAGGATGTATCTCTCACCATCCCCTCTCAGCCAGAGAGGCAAGCACCTACCCACGGGGCCGCACACAGGCCGCTCTGCTTGGGGCTCCACAGAGCTCCCGCCCAGCACCTGCCCGCGGACTCCCAGCCCCACCTGCGCTGAGCGTACAGCACCTCCAGGCTCCACAGAGATGTGGGTGGGCACACCTCCACGCTTGGGGTCTGCTCCGCATTCTTTCTCAGCACTCATGGGAACAGGATTCACCTCCCATACACAGGCACACGTGTGGCTACAAGCCCTAACTAACCAAGTGTGGCGTGGCACCTGCCCAGCTGTGCCTCTGTAACTGCCTGTGTCACCCACTTCTCCTAGCCCACCCCCAGACCTTACAAATGCCCACTTTGCCTCCACCTCCCACCTCACATAAATATCTGGGACACCAAACACGTAACATGTGGATACACGTATTTTCCTCACTTACGCACTCCCAGGTCCACACCCCTGGTTGAGCGAGCCACCCCTCTGCAGTCAGTGAACCGGCACCTCCAACGAGACTCCAACACTTCAGCACTCCCACGGCCCACATGCCGGCCACGCTCCGGCCTGGAGGCTCCAGACACCCTCCCGCCCCCCACCCGGCAGCCCCCACCTACCTCCATTCTTCTCCAAGGTCCCCAACACCTGGCTGCCCACGCCCGCCCCTGGGTGACCCGCTATCCACACTGCCCTCTTCCGGTCGCTGGGGGATAAAAGACCCCCGGCGCGGCACCCCTGTCCTTCGCCCCTTCCGGAGCCCACTGACACCTGTCAGAGCTCACACTCTCCGCCCTCACCTGTGTGCATGGGCTGCAGATTCACCATCCTGCCCCAGGCGGGCCCAAAGCCAGCGCCCCCCCAGGCCCCGCGCGTCTGCCCCAGCCGGGCCCCCTGGGAAGCCAGGGTCTCCTTCCTCCCGCCCCCGGCCGCCGCCGCTGTGGGAGCCGCTGCCGGGGCCGTCGCTGCCGCTGTCGCGCGCTTCGCTGCTCCAGCACGGGCAGCACTCGGCGTGGCCAGGATTGCCACACACCCCAGGTGAGCACGCGGCGCGGCGCGGGGCGGGGGCCGCCAGCCACGCCCCCTGGCAGGGCCCCCGCGCCTGGCCCCGGGCCCATGCAAAGCAGTGATTTGCATAAGAGCTGGGGGCCAGGGGAGGGGGCAGGGGGTGCTGCCGGGGCGGGTCGCGACCCTGCGGAACACCTGTCTGACCCAACCTATCCTGGCGGCCTCTCCCTACCGCGCCCGCAGCGACCCACACTCCCGGTCCAGCGCGTCTCTTTTAGGAACCCGTGGCGGATTATCCAGCCTGGGTCTGAGCCGTCTGGACAGACTCCCGAACTGCAAGCACCGCGAGGAACCTGGAGTGTTTGGAGAAGCCGTGGGGGGGGGGTGGGGGGTGCTGAAAAGAATCTGGTTTTTGGAATCCTATCTCTTCACCGCTTACAAGCTCTGCGACATCAGACAAGGCTGTTCACTTCCCTGAACTCATTTTACTCATCTGTAAAACGGGGCAGGTGCTAATCATAACTGGTATCTATGGATATGCAGCTTATGCAGCCCCGATGCATCCTCACAACATCCTGGGACCTAGAAGGGGCCCAGTTTATTATCACATTCTCCAGGTGAAGACACTGGCCCCCGCCTGCCCCACCCAGGTCCAGCTGCTATGAGGCCCTATGAGAGGATGGTGTGAAAGTTATGACCAGCGTCAGGGGCTGTGCGGACAGCCACCACCCTCATCTACAGAGCTGGGAAGCCACTCGTCCAAACGCACACAATTCCCTAGTGACAGATGGAGACTGGCTGAAATCAGGTCGCTGGATTCCCACTCCAGTGCTCTTTGCAGCACCCATCATAGACTCAGCACATGAACACCCCCCTCCCTTTGCTTCCATTCTCTGGGTCCCAGTAAGGGGTGCCCAGGCCCCGGGACCAGCTGCCTGTAAGCCCAGAAAGCTATGTGCCGACTGCAGGGCAAGCCCTGGCTGTCTTTCCAAGAAGGTATTCCAATCAAGGTTGATAAGATCCCTATCAACCCCATCAAGGTCTCCCTCCCTATCTCCCTAACAGGTCCCCTATCACCTTAGTCTCAGGACTATTTCCTGCTCACAGGACAGCTCCTGGGCTTTTCTGCCTCTCTGTCTTATTCATAATGTTCTTTCTATGGTATGTCCACCCACCATCCACCCCAGAAATCCCTATTACACTGGCAAGTATTTATTAAGCTTTTGCTATGTAACAGGCACTGTGCTAACCAACACTTCAAGGCACCTGACTTTGTTTAGTCCTCATAACAACTCATAAATTGGACTGTTATTATTTTCATTTTACAGATGGGGAAAATGAGGTTTAGGGAGTTTAACTTGCCCAGGGTCACACAGCCAGTAAGTGTCAGGGCTCCTGCTCCACACTCCTATGTGCAATTCCCTCTATGTGCGCTGCCCTCTACTCCTATGTGCAATTCAGATGCCAACTCCTTTCCAAAGTTGGAAGTGATCTGATCTGATCTTTTGCTTATTGACTGTAACACTTCATTGTTCCTCACAGCCTTGGTAGTGGGTTTTGTGGGACTTTTCTTATCCTACCACCTGGTTGTTAACTGACTGGCCACCTGCACAGCATGCAGCACAGTGCTGGGTATACAACAGGTTTCAGAAAGGGCTCTGTGGGTGCCACAGGGGCCCCGGGGGAAGAGGGAGTCCTTAATAGGTGCTTCTCCAGGTCCTACAAACTACTGGCCCTCGGTCACAAGTCTCCTCCTCCCCAACTCTGGGCAAGAAGCGAAGGGACCTTCTTCCTGTTTCTTCGGCTGGAGTAAGAAATCAGGAAAGACTTCTTGAAGGCCTTGTGAACCCAGGGACCTCCCCCCGCCCCTAGGACACTTCCAGCCTGTTCTTCCTTCCCTCCTCTTATCTGCCCTTTCCTTCCCCTCCTCCACGTCAGGTTTGGCCCCTTCCCTGAGGTCCATTTCTTATCTCCAACTGCACTTTACCTGCCACCATCCTAGAAAAATGCCTGCACATAGTTCATATGCCCATGTGTTTGTGATTTCCATATCTCTATTTGCATATCATTTGCATGGCTGTGTACACTGGGGGTCTGATTCTCTGACCACCATATCTGGCAACTGTTTCTCTTTTCTGTGTGCAAAGTTACATTTCTTCTCTGGGCTTTCTTCCAGAAGCCAGAGTACCAGCAGCCCAGGGTTCTGGAGTCCTGGGGATGGGGGTGGGGTGGAGCTCTTAGGGATGGGGGCAGAGATGGGACCTGGGTGTGCACACTTGGCAGCACAGCTTTGGATTCCAGACATGGGGTGGGAGGAAGGAGGTGGGAAAGGATGGGGGAGGGGAGGGTGGCAGACATGACCTCACCTTGGTTCCTTTACTCATTCATTCGACAAATGCTGGTTGAGTGCTTCCTATGTGCCAAGAAAGGGGCCCCATGCTGGCATGCACCTCTTTATGTAGTCAGCACAATCTTAGAAGGAAGACACAATTTATAGGCTCCTTTTATAGATGAGGAAACTGAGATTCAGGTGGTATGAATGCACTAGTGGACGGCACAAGTGAGGTTTAGACCAGGCCTGCCTGACTTCAAAGCCGGTGCTTGAATCCTGAGCCGCTCTGAGCCTGAGCCTTCCCTTCTCTTCCCCCTTCCAGTCCTATAACTTGAGGTAGAAGGAATGTAGAGATCATTCATACAAGGAACCAGAGGCTCACAGGGGGAGGGACTTGCCCAAGATCATATGGCAATTCATGCGGAGCGGAGAGCCTTCCCCTTGCCCTGTTCCTCTTTCACATGCTTTCCCTGGGTCTTAGAAGTTTGGTGGGTTGGCGACACATGTGTGCGGGGTAAAGGGCAGGGTTGGACCTGGCTTTTTATTCTTCCCTCTCTGACTTGCTCCATGATTGTTTTAATGAGGTGAACTGGGATAGGAGCTCCAAAGGCCCCCTTATCCCTCCCTCTTTCCCAGAACTCAAAGTCTCATGAAGCCAGCTTTTGGGGTTCTGGGCAGATGGGGGGTAGGGTTGGTGCTAACCCCCTGGGCCTAAAATTCCATGTCTCTGATTAGCTGGGAAGAGGAGAGAGATTGGAGGTTGCCTGGAGGTTAGAAAGGAACAGAGGAAAGGGGGAAAGAAGCAAGGACAGGAAATTTCAGTGCCTTTGGACATCAAAAGAGCTGTATGCAAATGAATGCAAATGAATGCAAATAATCCCTCCCTGCCTCCCTTCCAGCCCCACCCTCTCTCAACAGCTGGAGGACTTTTTCAGAGAACAGCCAAAGCCTTGCTCCAGGATGCTGTGATCCCGAAGTTGTGATCAACTGTGATCCCCCCCAGGTCCTCCTGGTCTTCCTGGGGTGACATATGATCCCCTTGGCTGCACCTCTAGGAAGCCACTAGCTCCCCAGGCCACATTTCTATGGACTATGCTTCAGAAGCCTTTGCTTCAAGGACAGGAGGCTCCAGGAGTCAAGCCTCCCCTTTCAGCTCCTCGCTGGAAATGGGCTACAGCCTTGGAGAGGGTGCTTGGGGGAGGGAGGTGTGCCCCCAGTCCTACTCCCCACCTCAGCAAAGTGGCCTTCCTGGCTGCAGGCCCTGCTTCCCACTCTCATTTCCTGTCATGTCAGCTGGATTGAGTTGTCAGGGCTGGCAGAAGGGTGGAGAGCAAGGCGTCCTGGAAGGCCACCAAGCAACAAGTCCCTTCTAGCTCCTTCTGTCTGCCAGATGGGCTGTGGGGCCAAGAGTGTGGGGGTGCAGGGTGGGGGTCAGCTCCTCACCTTGGGGCGACAGGGAATGGATCCAAGCTCAGGCTTCCCAAAGAAAAGCTAAAAGAGGAACATCAGATTCCAAGAAGAACTTCCAGGCAGGCCTCTTTTAAAATCACACCTCAGTCAATCTGACGGCGCCATTGCCAGGACGAGTACTGCGGGATGGGGCTGGAGGGGGCTAGCGTCAGGGTGACAGAGTAAGAGGTGTTCTGGAAACCAGGATAAGGCGACTGCGTCTGGGGACGGAACCAGCGAAGACTCGGGAGTCAAACCGCGGCGCTGGTCCCTGCCCCTGCTACTCCCAGCGCTGAGCCCGCACCCCTGGACTTCCCATGGTCCCCAGGGCCCAGCCCGCGCTCCCCTCTGGGTTGGGGGGGCGAGTACACCCACACTCTTGGCCCACTTCGCAGTCGAAGGTTCTGAAAAGTGGATAAAAATGGGTGTTTACATTTAAAAATGCACAAAACGGTGCACAAAAAATGAACTTTTTTGACCTTGAGGCCTGGATCCGGTCACTCTGATCGCACGTTCGGCAGAACCCTGCGACCGTGAATCCCTTCCCGATTCTCCAGGCCTGACAGCAGACCAGGTTAAGCCTCCGGGTCTACCTGCACGCTCAGGGCAAGTCTAAGGCCAGCGCGCCCTCTTGTGGTGACAGGGGGTGTGACCCTGACTTGAGCACTCCACCTGCAGGACTGTGGACAGACCTCGTGGTCCTGCGGTGAGCGCCCACCCATGGTCGCGGGAGTTATAGGTGAGGACCCCGGTTCCAGGTAAGTTGGGAATATAGAATTCTGGCTGTGGGTCTTCTAGCCCACTCCCCCCATCAAAGGCTGGGCTTTTCCACAGAACACCAGCTGGAGTTTGCCAGCCTTGGCCGGGTCACCGGAGTGGCTACTGTCCTGTTGCTGTGAGGCTGAGCTGGTGGGAACGCCCCACCTTCCACACTGCCCTCGGAAGCTTCTGAGTACATGCCCATCTGACGCCACCACACGGGAGGTCGGCAGCCGTTTGCCCATTCGGCCATTCAGAGTGTACACCGAGTACCTGCGGAAGCTGTGTGTTGGGCTAGGAGCTGGGAATGGAACACAGGCCAGCCCCTGCCCTCAGGAAGCTCACAGTCTGGTGGCGGGCAGCAGGAAAGGCTACTTGGAGGAAGAGACATCTAAGCTGGCATCCCCAGCAAAGAGCAAATAGGTGGGAGTGGGCCCAGGCAT